GGGAATCATTTTTGTCATTGTACCTATGAGTCCCCCCTCAAATCAAGCCCTCACTGTTCTTTAATTTGATCCTTTACAGAAGTTATGTGAGATGGTGTTTGATGCTAAAAGCGTAAAAGGGTGTTTGGGGTAAATTGCATATAAAAGGGAATCCTAGACTGTTAAACAAATGTGAAAATCAAACTGTGATGGTATAGATGTATTCTCATTTTTCAGGGTTTTTACCCCTGTTCCGCAAAGTGTAACCCCCCTGTCCTCACCGACAGACACCTGGTAGAATCACGTGGTTTACACAAGTTCATGCTTTCGTACAAAGCAGGAGAGTTCGCTTTGCAATAAAAATAGCTGCCAAACTGTGTCAGGTTAAAAACATGTCCCAGATTTTCTTCCTCATACACACATATAATGTAGCACAGAGTAATACATTTGCTGCGCATGCAAAATACAGTACAGTGCAAAAGTCAGAGGGCACCCTTTTGTTTATTTAATTTCCAGTCAAAACAGCCTCTAATACAAGTACAAAGCAGGAAAGATATTTAACACATACATGAATAATATCTACAACCCCAAATCAGGAAAATGCAGAAGGAAAGCAGTGATTTCAATTTGCTTTGACTTTTATTTAATTGCATACAGTACAAGCACAAGATGTTTCATGTTTTGTCTGGTCAGCTCATTTCATTTATAAATATGCATCTATTCCTACCACTCAGGCCTGCAACACATTCCAAAAAAGTTGGAACAGGGGCAATTTAGGGCTAGCAATGAGGTAAAGTAATTAAATAATGATGCTATTTGAAACAGGTGATTGCAATGATTATTTGGTACAAAAGCAGCATCCAGAAAAGGCCAAGTCCTAGCAGAGATGGGCCGAGGATCACCAGTTTGCCAGCAAATGCATGAGGATATTTTTGAAATATTTAAAACACTGTTTTTCAAAGAAAGAGAGGGAGGTATTTGGGTATTTCACTCTCTGTGGTGCATAACATAATTAAAAGATCCAGGGAATCTGGAGGAATTTTAGTGCGTAAAGGACGCAAGCTTAAGCTTAAGCTGCTCTCCAGTCCCTCAAATGACACTGCATCAAGAACCGTCATTCATTTACAATTTAAAACCACATGGGTTCAGGATTACTTTGGCAAACCTTTGTAAAGCTACGTAGTTACGTCCACAAATGCCAGTTAAAACTATACCGTGCCAAAAGGAAGCCTTGAGTTAACTGCAGAAGCGCTGTCAACTTCTCTGGGCTCGGAGGCATCTGGGATGGACCATCACACAGTGGATGCATGTGTTGTGGTCAGATAAATCATTATTTCAAGTATTTACCAGAAGAAATGGACCCTATGTTCTCCGGACCAAAGACGAAAAGGACCATCCAGACTGTTGCCAGCAACAAGTCCAAAAGCCAGGGTCCGTCATGGTATAGGGTTGTGTCAGTGCTGTTGGCAGAGGTAACTTACACTTCTATGATGGCACCATTAAGGTAGAAAAGTGCCTAGAGATTTTGGAGTGACATCCTTTCCAGAGATGCTCGTGCATATTTCAGCAAGACAATGCAAAACCACATTGTGCACACATTACAAAGGCATGGCTGCGGAAGAAGAGGGTGCGGGTGTTGGATTTACCTGCCTGCAGTCCCGACCTGTCCCCAGTAGAGAATGTGTGGGGCATTTTAAAATGCGAAATGCTACAACGAAGACCCCGTACTGTTGGACACGTTAAAACTTGCTTGTAGGAAGAATGGAACAAAATTGCTCCTAAAATCCTTCATCACTTGATGTCTTCAGTCCCTAAACGTCTTTTAGGTGTTGTGAAAAGGAACAGCAACATTACAAAGTGGTAAATGCTTTACTGTGCCAAGTTTTTTTGAAATGTGTTGCAAGAATCGTAATAGAAATAAATGTTTATTTTGAAAAAAAAAACAATATTCATTATTTACAACATAAATAATAAATAATGTGCTGTTGTATTGTTTTACATGCTTCTTTTTCTGATTTGGGGTTGTAATCTGTCAGTATTTGTCCACTTTTTACTTTTGTGCATGTTATTGCCACTTTCCTGTGTCCTTCCAACAAAAGCTGTTCCCAAATGACTGATATTATGTTCCCCTTCAAAGAGACACTAACATTCACATAAGCAACTACCCAAGCTCACCTTATCTGCCTTGCAGGTTTTTTCTCCTGTGTATCTAAAATGGCTAAAGGAGATATTTCTGAGCAGATTAGATACAAGAGAATTCACAAATCCACAGATAAACAGTGCTTAAGGCTTTCATCTTTGAGAGATCAAGCTCCACTCCTGCTTCAGATCTGAAAAAATCCACAGGTGTTTCTGTCCATCCTTCCACTGTGAGAAGACAGCTCAGCGCTATGAGTCTGAAAGGAGGTGTAGCTGTCAAAACAACATTACTGAGTAAATGAAACAGTCAAAAAAAGTCAGATGTCTGTATTTGGGATTACTTGGATTGTAAGAAGCAGAAAATGCAATACATCTAAGACTGACTGTCAAACAGACTTTGAAGGTGTGGAAAAATATTGCAGATTTCTTTGAAGAACTGAAAGCAAGTTTCCCGAAAAAGAGGTAGCTGTAATAAAACAGAGGATAGACACAATAAATACTGATATTGTTCTTAGTGGCTGAAATGCCTGTGTTTTCTAATTTTTTCAATGCTAAAAAACATTAATAACTTGTACTAAATTACTGTTTTGACTGGAAATGAATTAAATGAAAAGTTGATCTGTGACTTTTTGCACAGGAACAATTGAGTTTTTTAATTTTCCTGGCATTGTGATGATATTTTTCTTGTGTCCTGTTACTCTCTGTAGTTCGAATGTGTTTGAGTAAGAGCAGGTTATAGGTCTGTACCTCTGTTAGCTCGCTTGGTCTTTGCTCACATTTTTGGCTTGCACAAGACCTCAAACGCTGCTGTCAGCGCAGATATTTAAAACCTTGTTCACGCTATTAAAAATACTTTGAAAAGTGTAGAGACAGAATAGAGTTCTTACCACATTGTGATCCACAAAATTCATATTGATTAATTTAGTAAATTTTCAATATGAGTTTACTTTACACTTGGTAAAACTTTGTACAGTTGCATATTGTAGTCCAGCTGAGCCCATCCAATGATAAACAATATATAGACCATACCACCTTTTTTGGATTACCAGTTACTTTGTTTTGTATTTTATTTTGTACAGCATTTTACATTAAAAGCTAAACTATGCTTTATTTACATTTTAGTGACCCTTTTATTTTAAATACAGGATATCAAACATTACAATACCATGCTTAGATGATTTTACAAAAATGTCACATTTTTTGTTGCAAGGGCTCAACTGTTGCCAGACAGTTGCCTCTCTACTCTGTCCAAGTGGAAAGGGACCACCATTGGACCAGATATAATTTGGGTGGTGGACCACTCAAAGCACAGCGGTGACACTGACATGTTGTGAGTTGGTGTTGTGCTGCTACGAGTATGTCAGGCACAGCAGTGTCGTGGTGGTTTTAAACATTGTGCAATGTAAAATAAACTGGGTGACTGGAAGTAAAGAGTGAGTGATATTAAAGGGAAATTCAAACGATTTTGTAAAGATTTCTGCATAAATTAGAATTTTTAGAAGAATTAAACTGTTAAGAGTGTTCTGATGTGAAATGCTCTGTTCTGTAGAAAGCATGTCAAGTCAGAATCGTTCACAGTGGTTTTGCCTCTAAAGGCTCCTTCACGAAAAGTTATTATGTGAAGTGCTTATGAATATGCCGCCTCATATCGAAGACATTGTTCAATGATAGTTTTGAGAAGAGTTTAGTCTAGAATGTATTTTTAAAATCCATTCATGGCGGCGGGGTAAATGCAGGGCATTGCAAGAAAACTTGCTTTTCAGAGTAACTATTATTTTACCATAATCAACATAACAGAAGACACTGTTCACTGGTGGTTTTGGATAGTAGATAAAATGTCTATTTTTACATTGTAGACATTGCAACACCTGATTCCTATCACCACCACTGTAAAGAAATCTACATCAGTATGTTTCTCTGCAGTGAACCATTTCACATAAAACCCTTCGGAAAGACTTTGTTTACATCTGAACCACTGAATTATGCAGAAATTTTGAAATATCAGTGGAATTCCCCATTAACTCAGATTTCTATGTGAGTATTTCCACTATCCTTACAATAACAATATCACAGTTCTAATCTGTTAAACCTAAGTCAATCAACTTTATTTTCATGTCATTTCTTCTCACCACAGATGTGTTGAATGAGAAACGAAATATAGTTACTCCAGGACACAGTGCTACATTTAACACAGAACAAACAACAGGACAAACAGAGAATGAATATAACGCATACAGACAATAAACTATGCAAACAGCATACAAAAACTCTTCTATACAATATGCTATAACTATATGGGTGTTAAGCACAGGACAGTGGAGTTTAGACAGTGTTCAAAGGGGTTGGGGAAACAAATAGACCAGTTGTGGTCCCAGAGCAGCATTGACTCTTGTGCGTTTATTATTATCGGTGCTGATAATTAATAATAGTCCTTAGCAGCATAACCACAACCATTTTCAGAATTCCAGGTAATACATAGAGTTGCACTTTATAGCTCACTATAAAATATTTTACAGTTGCTGTAGCTAACAGAGGCAGCTCTTCATCCTGTATTTGCTACGTTTACCACCCTGCAGTAGAGCATATTGTAATTTTATATTTTTTTTGTTTTGTGCAATTAACGATGAAGAGGTTTTAATGTAATCCTACTAGTAATCACCCTATTTTTATAATGTGTCTGTAATCTGGTTACTGTAACTGTAACCGAATACAGGTAGTTTTTTTGCACCCTGATTACATAACAGCATTACATGTATTTCACTTCTAACTGTTCATGGGTAAACTACATATCAAGAGACAACAACATTCTGTGTTATGCATCCCACCCTTCCTGGGATATTTGCCTCTGCTACAGTAAGTTAATTTTTGTGTTTTTTTCATAGGGGGACAATGTCGACGTCAGAGCCCTGAGGGCTAAGTTTAATGTACAGACAGAAACTGCCAGCTCTGGAGGTGGCGCATCCCCGAGACATTCTGCGGTGGGTCCTACGTCAGAGTCCTCGGCCAACGGAGCGGTCCGAAACAAGTCTTCACCTGTAATTCCAAGGCCGATCCTTCCAGTGAACTCCACCACCGAACCAAAAAGGTTTGGTCAGGCTCCCTCATGGAGTCTTCCCCAAACCCCCACCCTCCCACCGTATGGGAGCCAAAGAGGAGCCTAAAACGCCCCTCACAGAGCCTGAGATCCCAGGGAGAGTAAAACTGACAGGAGAGCTTCTCCAAAACAAAATGATGAAGCATGTTGATGACAGGAAACCCCAATCATTTCCCAGACCTTCACTGCCCAGCCAGAAGAGCTTGTCTGAGGTGGCACCTCTGAGAAAGCCTCTTCCTGCTGTTGGGCAACGACCTTCAAAGCCCAGGCGACCCCCAGTGGTCAACCTGGACCATTTACGGAAAAAGGCGCTATCATTTCAACCCCCAAGACGCCAAGAGACCAAGACATCTGAGGGTAGGTACATCTCTTTCATTAGTGAAAGAGAACTATTGCACTGTTGTTATCTGGTTTGCTTTCTTCTTCTTCTTTCTCTTATTTTTCTGTCAGCTTTTTATCCACTAATTTGTCCCACAGTTTTCGAGATGTCGACAACTTTCCAACTTTGAAATGTTTAGTCTGATTGAGACTGGTGTTCTTGTATGCAAATTTTTCATCCGACGTACGGCCTTAGTACAATCATTGTTAAATGACAATTTCTTAACCCCCCAGGACTGAATGACAGACTAAAGTTTGTGAAACCCACTTATATTGTGATGATACAAGTACACTTGCAGTACATTATAAACCACATAGCATACCATAGCAGCCACCTGGAACTGCAGCAAGCACCTAGCAACACCCTAGCAGCTATCTGGGAAACCATAGCAACCACTTAGCAACATCCTAGCAACCACCTACGATACCATAGCAACCACATAGCAACACCCTAGCAACCACAAAAAATGCTATAGAAACCTGGTATCCACCTGGTGGACCATAGCAACCACCCACCAACACCATAGCGAAGAGTTTGGATAGCGAACATTAGAAACCACATCATAGCAACCACTTAGCAACACTTAGAATTAACAACCTGGGATATGGCAACCAGTTAGCAACATCTTAGCGACTATCTAAAATACCATACTAACCGTTATACAACCGCCTGAGAACTGCTGAAGCTGCGCAACCACTGTACATTTTCTTTATGAATTCTGTGAAATTCTTCATTAAGACCAGTAAAGTGACCCCTTACTCGTTCTTATTATTCAGATTAGGCTTTTTGCTCTCTAACAACAAAATTAACCACTTAAAGGACCAGGAGTCCAACGTTTTATTACACACTTCTATAACCTAAGAGTAGCTCAGCCAGTTTGCGTTGAAGTCCCTGTAGTTAATGAATAATAGGCCTCAGTATGTGATAAGTCTGGGCTTAACTAATAAACTGCTAAACAAAACTGACTAGAATCTGTTATGAAAGTTGGAAACTGCTATGAAAAAAGGAACTGAAGTGTTTAGACCCACATACAGGCCTTTGCAGTTTAAGCAGGTAAATCCAGGGCAAGTGATCAAATTTGATGTAACAAATATTCATTTCAAGCTTATATTTTCAGGGCAAACAGTACTCTGTTCAGAAAAGTGCAAGATAAGATTAAAGACAGCTATTATTATTATTATCCAAAAACATATGTATCTAAAAACTTTTAATGTAAGTTAATGTAAAGAAAAATTAATTCAAATTCCAAGCCGCTGTTCAAATGACATAGAAAATAAAAATCAAACTTGCTTGTTTTGTTTTTGACAGCCACGATATGTTTTAAAAGGACCTACATATGTACTTCATAGTCAGATAACTGTGATGTCTGATGTCTTGGACGTTTGTGTGTGTGTGTGTGTGTGTGTGTGTGTGTGTGTGTGTGGGCACATTCCACAGGACCAGGAAGGCCACCAAATAAACCTACACTCCTGCCACCAAATAAACCTCCCTTTTCAAACCCGTAAGCGTTATTATTCTTATAGTTCTTGCTACTGTTCATTTATCACTTAAATTGGAATTTGTCATTTCAGATACAACATTAAAATAAATTTAACAACAATGACAACAGAAAGAATAAAGCACAGGTGATACAAATGCCTGACAGTGGATTACATTGCTTGTTACACCTCTATATCTTTGAGCTTGCTTTATTATGCCACTCAAAAGCGCACCTCAAACATGAGCGCTTTCGCTTTTTAACGCCTCCAGTGTGCGTAGGTGCGTGCATGGTAAATGCACTGCAAAATTGTGGAATTTCCTGAGAACAATGCAGATCAAATACAAAAGTACTGACTGATTTCGTTTGGGTTTCTCAGAAACATTGAGCACGAAGAGGATACGTACGATGATGTTAATTTGCCCCCACCTCCACCTCCTCCTCCAAAGCCATCCTCCAGAGGTAAACAACGGGATGTTTCATACCAGCTATGACTTACTTCATATAATGATGTCATCTGTAGGGCTGTGTCCTTATGCAACCTTGTTCATACTGATGTACACTGAACACAAGTGATGCATTGATTTCACTTGATTCAAATGTACGTAAACATCATTTTTACATTAAAATGTATTATCAGCATTCCTCCAGGCAGGTTCACTGTAGCTCTGGCTGTTTTAACTTTTTGCGGGCATGTAACTATTTTTATAGCCATTGTCTGGTTTATGAAGGTCAACACACATTTGACTCATTTTATTTGTGTGTTCTGTAATCCTAAATGAATAAGGGAATTTGGCCTCTGTGAAACTGAAATATAAATGAGATCATGCTTCAGTCACATTTTGTGTGGTGTAAATAATAGTAACGTAGTGTTATTAAAAACATATTTGTTGATAAGGGTTTTTGTTTTCTCAGACTAAATTTACTTCAATTAAAGGATCAATTGTTCTCAAATTTTCAGTGTTAAATTCAAAGGCATGTAACTTTGAATTGAACAGTGGAGGGGTTGAGCAGAACCTGCTAGAGGGCATTTTTTCACATGTACTACTCAGAACTACATAAAAGTTCATGATTTTTTATTTTAAGTTATGGAACTCTGCATGTATGTGAACACTGTAAGAAGTAAAGTGAGGGCTGCCACAGCTAGAGGTGATGCTAATGATACAATAACTAACGCTAACCTCAGACTCAGATAAAGTGATATGTGCTGCCTACACATTCTGTTGTGGCGTAGGCACCAAACACTTTGCATTAAGTGTCTTTTTATACAGTAACGTCAAAATCTGTGCTAAATGTATTTGAGGTTAAAATCTAGACCGTTAGTGAGCTCTGCTGCAGTGAAGCTGGAGAATGTTGAAGCTTCTGCTTCACGCTCTGAGCGCAACCAAGTTTTTAGAACCGGGGGAGGAGGCAACAAAAGTATTTTCATCGATATTTACATTTCAGTATTAGTAATAGTAACACCATTTTATTATATCAATAAATCTAATATTTCTGGTCCAGTTTTATAACCAAAGAGTTATTATCAAAATTAATTATTAGAGTTAGTTACATGACTGAGTCATAATTATCCAGTGGAAATCCTATGTTTAGACTGAGCTTATTAACCACAAAGACATTTTTTTCTACCTATCTTTGCCAAACGTAATCATGGGGCTGACCATATTTTATTGTACAGATTTGAATCAAGGAATTTCAATGCATTACTTTTTCAGTGTGTCTTTTTTATAAGAACAATACTTTGCAATTACAGACTTTGAAATTGTCTTTGGCCATGAACTCATTTCTTACACGTTGATGTGATCTCATATATGTTTGATAGCAGCTTTGATGCCCATTTTTTCCTATAATAATTTTATAGCTGATTGAACTATGGCTTTAATATGCTAGTTAATAAACATATGTTGTGCTTATACAGAATCGTGGACTGACAGTTTCTCATCTCAGGCTGGTGAGGTGTGTGTCCCCATACTTTACATTCAGAATTTCACTGTTTCTTAAGAATTTCATGCTCAAACAAACTTATTTTGTGTGAATGTTTACTTGTTCTTTGCTTGGATTTTTAGGACAGTGATCAAAGTGAAATTTACGAGCATATCGAAGAGTAAGTGGTTCGCTGGTTTCACTAAACTGCTTTGGTTTTATCTGCACAGTTCATAGTAATAATTAACCCCTAAAATACTAAAGGCCCAATATATGTGCCCAATTCTACTACATATTACATAAATTACTTATTAGCTTTGTTTTAAATAATTTATAGTTAATGAATAATGTGTCTTATAAATAATAACTGAATAATACACTTAGAGTTGGAGGCCTTAATACATTTTACCACCAATTTTGTCACAAGCAAATTTCACTTCTCAGATTTCATTTGATGTGTTCTGCTGAACTATAGACAGGAGGAGTTTGCTCAGCCAGCCGTCTTTGAGAAGAAGAAACAAAAGGAACTCAAACGACAGCAAGAAACAGAAACGAAAGAACAAAAAGAACGGCGTAAAAAAGAAAATGAGTACAGAAAAAAATTCAAAGTAAGTTTATAATATAATTTGTTACCATTTATTATATGGTGATTATACATTCATGCTTGTCATGATATATGAAAAGTGCACATTTTAACATATTTCATCTGTGAGATCATCACTGAAACATCTGTTGAAAATATCACATTCACATTATATTATCTCTCAAAAATGGGATCATCATCAGTCATGTTCCATGTTACATTTTGTATCTTTTCTTGCAGCCTAAATTTTTGGTTACTAAACTTGTATTTAAACTTGATGACTGAAATTATATGGAAGTTCTTAGTACATCCTGCATGTTTGAGCATAGAAGGTGAAGTTATGTTGTTATGTGCCATTCTTCTCTTTTTTTGGGATCTTTTTGGTCTAAAATAAAATGCTTATGCTTAAAGGTTGAGAGTTGCATGCAACAGTGGAAAGTGCAGGTGCTGAATCAACAAAGCAACATGAAATGAAACACAAAAAAGAGAAATAGTAACAAAATGTTATATACTAAAGTGAAACTTTATTGACTCTCATCACTTGGAAAAAAGTATTTCCGTTTGAAAATACAAATCTTGCTTTTTAATTTTACTTAAATACATATAACTGAGTAAATGTAAGCGTTTACTATGCATCAAAATTCACGCACTTTCTCATTTTCTTACATTAAAGGACTCATATAATGCAAAACTGGATTTTCCTTGCTTTTGTGAAATAAAAGAGTTTGATGTAGAATGTAAACATTCCTAAATTTTGTACCATTCACTCCCCAGTCCATACAGTCCATATATCCAAACTAAGCTGCAAAAACAGCACAATTTTCATTAATTGTTTCTGTAATGTCACAAAAATTAGTGTATTTACATATATGCCTATTTAGCCTACAGTAATGTAGCCCCACCCATTCACGCTGAAGTTATAAGGAATGTTTCGGCCCGGACTGCTTTTCAAACCAGACACTGTACAAGGCAGCAAATCTGAAGATATCATTTACGTATATCAGTCTTAAAGGCACAGTAGGAACAACAATCTGTTAAATTCTAAGGGATAAAGAGAGGTTGCTATTTGTTGATGTTCCTGTTTATGTTGCTGATGGATACCTTATCATTCACTCATACACGTTTGTTGTTTACTGTAGCTGACTGGAGAAGAGGAAGTACTGCACATCGCTCGGGTGAGAGAGGACTGGCAAGGAGGGAAGAGTGATCTGCGTGTGCGGCAGGGAGAGAGCGTGGAGATCGTCCGAGTGAAGAACAATCCTGAGGGGAAATGGCTGGCTCGAAACATGAACAGAGAATGTGAGCTTAGCCTCAGAGACATGGCTTACAGTACATGTCTGCTTTAGGCTTCTTCTGAGACCAAAGACTGCAGTAACAGAATGCAAAATAAATACCACATCTTGACCCTTTAAAGTCAACATAAATGAAAAATCATGGCACATTTTCCTCCCGTGCTGTGGCATATTTCAGAATAAAACACTGTGTCAGGAAGGGTCTCTGAGCTAGCTGATCGTTTGCAGTGATAGGTGAGAGTGGTGAGACCAGGAGGTGAAACTCGATATAATTGTTAGGTAACTTATTATGTTTTCCTGCCTGCTGGTTCTGATGTAATCTGATCATTTCAGAGGCAGGTGAAAATGATACTTTGTTGGAAGAAAGGAGAAAAACAATAATTTTCTTGTTTAAATGAAACATCGTGATGCATCAGGTTTTACATCTTCAAATCCCAGGCTTATTACATACCAAGGCTTATTATTCAATGACTACAGAGACTCCAGTGTTAACTGGCTGGGCTGTTCTTAGGGCCCACCAGTGGACCCTGGCCATTTAAGAGAATAATATCAGCAGACATGTGAAATACTAAGGTAAAAAGGTCGACTTGAAACCCTAAGGGCCGGCCTGTGGACCAACACGTCCGTTCCACACACTCATAACTACATAACTTCCATGGTACTTTAATAGAAGTTACTGAATAATTGTAGTAGTCACTGAGTAATCTTAGAAGTATTGAAAATGTCCTCAGTACCTACCAATAATGATGAATAAATGAATAATTACTAGATGTAAATTATTACAGCAAAAGCTAACTTGAATTTTTATACACTGAAAATGTGCTGCACTAAATTTATTCCGTTCATTCAAATATGTATGTAATTTCTACATCAACATAATTACTGCTTAAGTAAGTAGACTGACAGATGAATTTGTGTTGATATATTTTATTCATGTGGAAATAATGTAGAGTAAATTTAATGCAATCAATGTAAGTTGCATTTGTGGTAATGTGAAATGCTACAGTACAGTACTGTGCAAAAGTAGGAGATCACTCTTTATTTAGCCTAGTTTTTATGTAAAACAGCCATTAAGTACAAATTATTCATTTTTCAGTGTCACAAAAAAGAGGAAACATACATTTAAACAGAAAGTTATGCAAAAGTCTCAACAACTAAATATAATATCACATTTTTCAGTATTTAATGTCTCACCCTTTACCTTTATTACAGCTTCCATTCTTTTCAAGAGACTTGCTTTCAGTTTTTAAATGAAATCTGAAGGTATATTTTTCCACACCTCCAAAGTTCAGTCTTAGATGTTGGTTGTATTTCCTGCTTCTCACAATCCAGGTAATCCCAAACACATTCTGGGCCTTCAAGTGGTCAGACCATTGTTCTGAGAACACCAGCAGCTTCCTTGTTTGATTTGCAGGGTTTCTTCTTTTTTTCTCTATTTCGTTTTTAGGAACAGCTTCTTGACAGCTTTCAGACCCATAACGTTGAGCTGTTTTCTCACAGTGGAGGGATAGACAGAAACACCTGTTTCTGTCCATCCTTTCATCCTTCACTCTGTCCTTCCACTTTTCAGATCTGAAGCAAGAGTGGAACTTGATTTCCTCCTCTCTCTCTCAAAAATGAAAGCTTTAAGTGCTGTTTATCTGATGGTCACAGTTTCGGAGTTCTCCAGGCCTTTCACAGTTGTTAGGAGTTCCATTTCCTCTATAATTTTAAATCATATTTTGAACAGTTTTAGAAACTCCTTTCTCACTCATTTTCCTATTGACATCCTCCTTATTGTGCTAATTAATTGTCTTAAATGTTTCTAATCTCCTCAGAAATACTTCTTGAAAAATGAATAGGCTGTTTTGACTGGAAATCAAATTAGTGAAGAGTAGTCTCTGACTTTTGCTCAGTACTGTATATCTGAGTTTTACATTAGGTAGTTATTGCATAAAATATTTTGCTTATAATGCTTATGCTTATCATTTTGAACTACTCCAATAGAGAATCTAGACGATCACTATAACTGATAATAACCAATAGATTGTTTTTTTTTCTTGTAGATGGTTATATCAGTAACACATGTGTTGATGTGGATTATGAAGAAGTGAAGCGGAAGCTTCGCCTCGGAGTCACACCCTCTTCCCTTCCTCCTCCAGTCCAAGAAGACGATGACGTTTATGATGATGTCGGCTCAGACGCCCTGAACAGGTGTTTTGCTTGTGTTCCAGTTCTATTTTTGATATTGGTAGTTAGATGCAGACAGTGTTATAAAACAGCAGAGATTTACATTTTGAGTGTTGTGTTCTCTTTTTTCTGTCTGTAGCAGTTTTACTATGGGCGGCGGTAAGTGGTTTGACAATTACTGCATATTCAGGCAACTAATCTTTACTTGGTGCAGTGTTGTTTCATTTCCTCTCTTTCTCTCTCTCTTTCTCTCTGTCAGAGGTATATGATGATATAGATGCAGTCATACCGGATGAATTCCCCCTCCCCCCGCCTGAGATATGGTACGCACCATTATAGAAACTTCATGTCTGTGATTACTCACTGTGTGCAGTAGGGGTATAAATCTCTGACAGCAAAATCTCAAGTTTGATGTGATTTGATCATTTTACAATTATACAATAATTACAAATATTCTGTAGTTTACAAAAATATACACAGGAGCAGATCGTAGACAGTAAAAACAAATGTTTAAATAGCCCAAGAATTTAAAAGGGACCTCCATCAATATTTCAGAATTGCTTGGTTGAATCCTTATTATGTAAACAAAGTCATTCAAAGTGTTTTTGATGTGAAATGCACCATTCAAGAGAGGCTTACCAAGTCAGAATTGTTCAAAGTGGTGGTGATAAGAACCAGACATTTGGGACCATATTCAGAAAGCTCGGGATAGAAGTGCTGATCTAGGATCTGTTCCAGTCAGTAAAGTCATCATAAATAAATCGTAAATGTAAGTAAATGCATCTAACCCTAAATCAGCACTCCTGCTGTAAGAAACTTTGTGAATACATTCCCTGAGATGCATAATACTTTAAATGCTACCTCCAATAAAAAAATATTACCTGAAATGGTTATGAAAATCCTGCCTAATGCTGGAGACATTGTTTTATGATAGTTTTAAGATAAGCTTTTTGCCTAAAGCATGTTTTTAAATATTCATTCATGGCACAGAGGTACATGCAGAGTGTCATAAGACAAAATAGCACCCAAAGAGAACTTATTTTCTCATAATTACCACTACTTTACATTATTAATATTAAACATAACAACTCAGAAGATCACGTGAAGGTTCAGCAGTCATTTTAGATAGCACAGAAAATAGTTATATTTGTGCTGTAGACTTTGCGACTCCTGGTTCCTATCACCACCATTGTAAAGAAATCTGAGATGGTAAGTTATTCTACCATGAGCCATTTCACATCAAAACTTTACACCTTAATAATACAATTCTGAAGACATTTTGCAAAATTGATGGAATTCCTCTTTAATTTTGACCAAAAATCCCTCGAGTGAATATTATAATATTATTGCAAACATTGATTACATTCCAGAATTGATGCACTTCGCCATCTTCAAATCGATGCATTATGTGTGTATGTCTGTTTACTGTCCTGCCTTGTTGCTATTTTATAACCACGTCATAATCATAAATTCTGAAGTTTTATAACATTATCACTTTTTATATATTCATATATTTATTCAGAAAATGGCTCTTAAATTTCACAACAATACATTGATAAATTGCATCAACATGTCCTCAACATATAAAAGTGTAAATATACAATGTGCATCACACTAAATCTACAGTAAAGTTTATGGGTTTGATGTATTCAGTCCACTTTGCCAAAATTTGGTTGAAAATGTGTTTTTTACATGTTATGAGAGGAGTAGAGCTCTTATTTATATGCAGATAGCAGCAATTTATGGACATGCTTCATATGCTCTCGTGTTTACATTAAGCAGTGAGGAAAAATCCAAAGTATTCATCAAGGACAGCACCTGAACCAGCTTTCCATTGACAGCTTCCTAGTTAAATTATAGCTGAATTATAGCTCCTGTCTAAGTTAATGCTTAACTTTATGGCCACAGCTCAGAGAAAGAAGCTTTGTTTCATGTGCTCACGTTATTGTCTATGTAATGTCTCTGGTGCCATCATGTTAGTACATTAGCATCTACTGTATGAGATATTTAGCATAAAAAGTATGTTATAAAATATTGTTCTGTTTATAACTATTGGTTTGTTCATTCTTCTAGCCATGATCCCAAGAAGAACAAGAAGCTGGAGAAGGAGGAGAAGGAGTTTAGGAAAAAGTTCAAGGTAAATTTTCTTTATTACTCCTTATATCCTCTGTATAGTTGTCCCCACCAACGGGTCAGCTAAGTCCCTGTTAATTTGCCTAGAACATTTTCTTTAATACACTGAACTGTCTAAGGAGCAGACCAGACCAGCATATTAAATCTGTTTGTTGTTTTTTGGTGATGACAGTTTGAAGGGCCTATCAGGGTTCTTGGCTGCATGATGGTGGACCCCAATGCTAATATAAAGAAGAGCGGAGGAAAAGACCTGTCTGTTGTACGAGGAGAGATTCTGGAGGTCATTGAGCAGACTAACGAGAAGAAAGTACTCTGCCGCAACAATCAGGGCAAATGTAAGTGCCGTGCGCCCTCTTGTGAGAAACACTGCAATACTTAAATATTTTAATGGCAAATGAACCAATAAAAGTGGTATAAAAATCGGAAATTTCTTAGATTTCTATACATTACATAAACATTGAGATGTAAACAAAGTCATTCAGAGCGATGTGACATAGTTTAGTGTGGAGAAATAGGTCAACTCTATAACTCAACTGCAACTGCAGCTCATTTAACCATTTTATTTCCTATTCTACACATGTATTCTGAGGTTTTATATATAATGGTACTAATGGAAAAATAGTGGTAAATCTGAAAAAAAAAGTTTTCTTCAGGGTTCTACTTTTCCTTAAAATTACCTTCATGAATAGCTTGGTTAAAAAAAAAAGTTTTATGGCTGAAATCTTATCCAAAAACTATCATAAAACAATGTCTCAGAGATCAGGCAGCACATTTATAATCATTCCTTGTTATCATTTTCTGTGGGGTAGCATTTAGAGGCACTAATTCCTGTCACCACCACTGTGAACGACTCTGACTCTTTTGAGTTTGTCTAGAATGGAGCATTTCACATCAAACCACTCTAAATGACTTTGTTTACATCTTAATGATTTCATTATTTCAGAATTTGATAAATCATTGGAATATTTATTGTAGTAGTGATTGTGCATTTTTCTTCTATTTTTAGATGGATATGTGCCCACATGTTACCTTCTACAGGCGTATGTATCGTTCTATAATCATTATCATCTTCCTTATTATTTCACATTCATATAATTTTGTTTGTAAAAAAAATGCTGTCAAATGCTATTTTTATCTATTTCAGGGAAGGCGAAATATATGATGACATTGACAACAGGTCAGGTATGAGAGTTCAAATTTAGAATTGTCTTCTTTTAATGATCTGCAGTCAAGCTTTATGTATATTACTATATTATTATTATTATTATTATTATTATTAAGCAGGCTGTAATGCCTAATAATTTAACGTACATCTTTGTGGTTAAATTATTTTTGATTTTTACATGTACAGTCTTACAGATTAGGGCTTAGTTGGCTGAAGAGCCCTGCCCAGCTTTATCAGTCCAGTTCTACCGTTCCCCAAACCTTAGCCTTATGAGCTGTGGCTAATTTTAGTTTTGAAATGTACCTTTAATGCTGTGTATGAAACTTTGTCCAGAACTTTTCCTTACTTTTCTTTCCATTCGCAGATATTTATGATAATGATGGACCTTTGAGGCCCTGATGGACAGGAACAGAACAATGTTGGAGAAAGTGGACATAAAACAGAAAAGAATTAGCAACTGAGCTAGGCTGAGACTATGAGAATACTTATTTCCTACTAAGAAACTATTCAATCCTGAGGACAGAAATACTTAAGATTATGAATTAAAGCTTTGTACATTAAAGAAATAAATGCACATTTTTTAAAATAAACTGCACATCCTCATTTTTCTTATTATTACTAGGTTAGTATTTGCTATAATGAGCTACTCATTGAAAAACACATATTTTCAGGGTTATGAGAGAAAAGTAATTTTATGTCCTGCAGCTGTGCAGTACCATTCTCAGTGCAAATGGCAAAAGTCACCACGCAAGTCACCTCTATTTAACAGATGACGGACATTAATTTTATTTTTTGTTCTAACTCAGAATTAAATTAAAAGAACTATCATTCAGTGTAATTAAGATCACTGACCTGTGTACGCCTTATTTTACATGTAAACAAGTAGGAAAAGTGAAGGAAAGTGACTTACAATTCAATCATGTTACAAAGGTAGGAAAACTAAGCATAAACTTAGCATTTTAGTGGTGTAGTATAGTGTGCTGATGCAAGTAGGAGATTGAACTCCAGTCTGGTGAATGGAAAGCAGTGCTGTTATCCACTACGCTACACCCGAAAGGGTTCATTTCCCAAAATATGTCTGGGGATGTCACATACTTTTTGGTGAGATGAAGGCAGGACTCATTTCACCTTCGTGCAGACAACAGAGACCCAATTCTGTTCTATTCCATCAAACATTTACACCAAAGCAATTATTATTCTCCTTCAGTGATTACAGTGATTATTTCTAGAATGTTGTGACTACTTTCAGCTCAAGCCTTACAATCCCAGTCTTATTACGTACTAAAGCTTATGATTCAGTAACTACAGGGACTTCAATGCAAACTAGCTGAACTATTTTTAGGTTATAGAAGTGTGTAATAAAACTTATGGCCTGTGGCCATGTAAGGGGCTAAACACGTTTTATTTGGGCCTGGTTACTTGCTGCACAGGATGTTGTTGTTGTCCTGAGTGACAGGGGAGGGCAGGATGGCAGAGAGGAACACTTTTCATCCCTTTGACTCTAATAGACATGCATTTTGGTTTACCTTATATATGGTGATTGGCTACATCCACCTTAATGGTGGCTGGATTTCTTTTCCAGGTCATAGTGATAGATTCAGATGCATCCTGGATAGTACTCCCCTTCTTTTATTATTTTATTTCCCCTTTTGTAATTAAAAAAAGATAATTTTGCTGTGTGCTGGTTTATTTAGCCTGATAATATATAAAAAATGGGTTTAATGTAACAACCAAATAGTGACGCTGCAAAGTTGCTCCATAGCATTATGAAAGTTAAAATATTTGTCTTTTATAGCTTGTAACCAAGCTACCATTTAATTTAAGTTGTCAGAAAAGGCCATTATTTACAATGAAACCACAACAAATTGCTTTTTGACTGTCTAGCATTTTGATGTTAGTCACATACGACAGGAATAAAGGTAAAAATGTACATAAGGATGCACACAACCTGATATTTACTAAAAAGGTACTGCTGGATTGTTTTTTAATCAGATGCTGGGTTGAGCATTTTCTCTCATTTTGTTGGGTTATTTCCACTGTTCTAGTTTTAGGTAGTTTTTGGGACCCCACTGCTGGGTTAGGGACTGTGTCATAATAACAACCCAGCAAGTGGGCTAATTTCAGTTTCATGGCTTTAAGGCAGCAGTATGGGACTGACAGGAGTCGGTAAGTAAACTTCCATAAAATGTGGCCGTTTTGCTTCTTACTGTTACATGAAACCAATAAAAACCTAATTTAGGTATGCTGATTCTTCATTTTGCCATTTCATAAAAATATCAAGCTATTTAAACCCATGAAATTGCTGTCCACCCCATCATCTTGGGTGCTGAAGCCTATCCCTGCACTAACTGGGCAGAAGGCAGAAAACACCCTGGACAGGTTGCCAGTCCATCACAAGGCAGACGCACAGACATACACATTTACACCTAGGGGCAGTTTTAGGATTACCAATTGGCCTGAGTGCACTTCTTTAGACTGTGGGAGGAAACTCATGCAGACACAGGGAGAACATGCAAACTCCAAACAGAAAGGACCTTGGTTGCCCAGCCAGGGAACTGAACCCAGGCCCTTCTTGCTGTGAGGCGACAGCTCTACCCAATGTGTCAGTAACTATATAAGTTAATTTCACTTAATATTTCTCACACTGTCTTCATTATTAGCCAAGAACAAGCTTAAGATATCTGTCATGGTGAAATATTGAGTTAATTAAAATCATTTTAAAGCATCAAAATACATCTTTGAAACAAAACTTAGTCATCTTGAACATTTGAATTTGTCTACACCTGTAGGCCAAGCATATGTTAATCAAATGCTAACTATAGCTAAAATTGTCCACTTTGTCATTGTCCACCTTATCATGCATCATGCCATGCAGGGTGAACATATACATGCCTTTTCTTTGTTTTTTTTCTTGTTCTTGTTTTTTTTGTTTGTTTTTTTTAATAAAATAGTATTTTCTGGTAACTGTTAAACTATTGATGTTAAAAGAGGTGAATAGTTCTTGTAAGGTTTTAAAACAGGTTAATTTTACCTCGTCACTCATCACACTGCAGTAACAGCACTTAAATAGTAAGCATAACCCAAACGCAGACTCGTTCAGTTGCTCACTCACACGCCCAAAGCCACTCTCCACTGTCAAATATAAGCTTAGCTATTTAATATGGACTCCCTGTTAATGAAAGTTCTGCCATTTAATGTAAATATGAAATGTTCCTGTCCACCCTGTCATATACTGGTCTACCCTGTCATGACCTTTTCCATGTCTTATTAAAATAAATTTGTGATTCCTCGCAGATAAACAAACCGTTATAATTGATTTATCATACATAACGGTGGGTCAAGTAATTTTATTCCAATTTTTGTTTAAAGATGTTTAATGTTACTATTGTTTGTGTAAGAAAAGGATGTCTGAATTGGTCAAGAATATTTATCAATACCAAGCACGTTACACAGCTAACCTACCCAGTTAACCAATCAAATGAACTCTTCTCTTAATGTATGCTACATTACTTTGCCGGTTGGAAAAACATGCCAGACTATCTGCAGCTAAAAAATGAATGAAAGTTGGATTTTAAATGAACAGTTTGACATTATTGAGCTGTTAGCATTAGACTAACAAGTAGTTAATTTTTGGCTATCATACTTCTGGTGATTGACAGAATGGTTCATTGGCTGTTGCTAAGCAGTTGCCACGGAGTTCCAGGTGGCTGCTAGGGTATTGTCAGGCGGTTGCTATAGTACCCAAGGTGGTTGCTAGGTTGTTGCTAGGCAGTTGCTACGGTGTTCAAGGTGGTTGCTAGAGTGTTGCTATGTGGTTGCTATAGTATCTCTGATAGTAGCTAGGGACCCAGACAGCAAGCATATATCGATCCGCTGGCTTGTCGGCACCTCACTGACTGTTTGCCACTGGGGGTCCACCCTCGGACCACCCAGATTACTGTCCTGCATACAAGAGCTCAGTCTCCCCAAACAGATTATAAATGCACAGAGACTTTTATTTTAGAAAAAAAACGAGAAAAAAATAATGATTAGGACTAATGTAAAATGTTGTTGCTGACGCTGTACTAGATTAAAATTATTTACTAAACTAATTTACAAAGTATGACTAAAGAAAGGAAGGAAGTTAAAATCAGTAAATTGGACTGTGAGTGGAAAATGAACGACGATAAATTAAATTTTGTCTAATACTCCGCTTAACCGCCAGTGGGCCGCCCGGAAAACGCTGAGCAAAACGCCAGTGGACCACCAACTTTGCAAGCAGCGGGCCGACAGTGGTCCACTGTCCTCTTGCTCTCGGGGGACTTGCTTGGTGGTTATATGGTAAGAAATAGAAAATACTGTCACATTAATATGTAATGTAAAAATAAACATGAAAGACAAGAACAGTAACCCAACAAAAGAGCAACTAAAGTAACCGCATTCTAGGATTAATGAATGATGACCCAGCCTGCTGACTGATCATATAGAGGCTGGGTGACCCAGCGTGTGCTCTGTTATGTAGTAACCCAGCACTAAGTTATGGAAATCACCCATACTGGGCTGTTTTTAAGCCAACATTTTTGGATGGTTAAATGCCTGTTGCAATAATTTGATTTGGTAAGTAAATAAATAAATAAAGTTTAATGTTAAGAGTGCTAAACACCACCGCAACAGTGAAATCACTTTCTCCTCAGACCGACACGTCGTTCTTCTTCTAAGATGACTCCCGAATAGGTGATCGACTGTTTTGGTCTGGGGAAAACAGTTTCCTGGCCAAAGTGCAGTAGGTGAGGTTACTGAACCGGAGGAAACAGCCGTATGAAAATACAAAAAAGGTCTGATTTTGGTCTTTTGGTAAACAGCAACGTAATATACAGAAGGAAACTTCTACCTCTTTCATCCTGTGCTTTAAAAGAGGAGAGTAAAGCGCTTAACTGTGTTTCTTTCACGGTAACATATGAAGCGCCCCTCATAGTCCAGCATGCAGGACCCTCTAGAGTCAGTGGTGAATTTACTGGAGTCCTACAGAGGAAGAGATAAAGTGGTGAGTGGTGTCTGACAGAGCTGTGCACTGTGATAACCAGAATCAGCATAAAACTGGTACAAAACCTGCGACGTTTACATTTATGTGCAGATACGTGCAGTAACTAACTAGCGTTAGCTATTAAACTTAAATCTACTTCCACCCTAAATACGATGTGTAGCGACTTCCCAGAGGTGTTTATTACTGCAGCTGTTCATTTCAGTGACGAACTGTACTTGTAAATTGGCAGCTAATTCATTCATTTTCTCCTGTTATTTACTAATGATGACACATTCTGAGGTCGTTTTGGTTAGCTAAGCGACAAGTAGGAGTAGAGGTGGGCAATATAATGATATTTATCGTTATCGTGATAAATTATGCCACAGTATGATTTTCTGAGCATATCGTGGATATTTTTAGTACTTAAAGAACACTGAACAGTTTCATGCTTCATTACAAAAACAGCATAATCAGCCCTGTTTAACTAGATGTAGTGCTCAGTACGTGAAATGCCAACTAAAAATCATTGCATTTCTAGTATTTTTATAGTCTAATTTTAAATGCACTACTGGTTGTATTTTATCTAGTACATTCCAACTTACTAAATCTCAGAAAAATGAAATATCGTGATACATATTGTCTTTAAATGTCTTGACGTGTATTATGTTTTTCCTAAGTATGAGTCACAGATTAGATTTCTTTGGTCTTCATGTTGTCCAATTCCAGTAAGTCGAGTCCAGAAAGTCAAGTCAGATTAGGTGCTTTATACAGTGAATCTAGCTTGACTTTTGTTTTTGGCCTCTTTTGGATACTAAGATGAAGACCAAACAAATCAGAGGTGGAAGTAAAGAAAGACTTCATGATCCCGTCATTATGCCAAGCTGTTGGAATTGCAAGAGAAAAGGTGTATTGAGACCTGAGTATCCCAAAGAAGAGCACTTCTGAGGGTGACTGAATAATCCTTTGTATTTTGGAGAACAACCTTCGTATTTTATCTTCAGTGATCATTTTTTGAGACAGCCACTTCTCAGTCCTCATGACAGATCTAGCTAGTTCTACATGATGAAAATGCAGTGCAGTGTATCATAGCTGTCCAGAGAAAACATGTGTATCCCTTTTTTATCGATTTTTATTTTTTACACCATTTGAACAATGCAGGAGTCCCTTACATTAAAGTGAAAATTTCATGATGATTAGACCAATAGAAATTTTCCAAAATCACTTGGTACTAAACCTTTTTACATTGATTTGCATTAAAAGTTCAGAACATCTTTGCCTTCTCCTGTGAAGTAACAAATTTATGAGGATTACTTGTAGCTTCCAAAATATGCAAAAATAAAGCAGGTCACAATGCAGGTCTGGCAGATCATCAGCACAGAGATGCCCACCATCATCACCAATATTTTGCTGAAAGTGTTAAATGATATCTGCATCACAGACTTGATTACAAAATGATATTACATGGAAAAGCAGCCACTTATGAAATATGACCTTACTCATGTTGTTTCCCCAATTATTGACGGTTGTTGTTGTGCTGTAAAATGCTTTGAATTTGTGTGTTACTTTAACAAGTGGAATACAAAAGCCAAATACTACATAGAACAATGAACTCATTTACATTTTACTAGTAACGTGCTTGTCTGTTTTTGATGCTGGGGTTAGATAAGAACACTTTGCTATGGATCCCAGCTGGTTGGTGGTGTTTTGTCCCAAAGGACTGGTGACTCCTCTCAATTTGGCAAGAGTCTCCTGCTCTTCTCCGCTCAGCTCAGTCACTGTCGGACAGTACTACGGCTGTTTGATGACCTTTCTATGGCCGCTTACTCTCAGAGCTATGGTCTAGGGGCCACGGTAAAGTACCAGTTCCTGTTTTTGCTTGGATAGGGTTGTTGATGTTTAATTTTGTGGACAAACTCGTGTCAGCTTTCAATGTCATTTCATTGCGAATAGGGCAGTACCGTGGATCTAATGTACAAATCATTATATTCATACTTTTTGTTGAGTGTTTTTTTTTAATTGTGGCACTACTTTAGATATTGTGACTCATCATGTATTGTAAAAATGTCCTTATTTATTATGATATTACCATATCACCAAGCTCTACCTTAACCTCAACACAGAACCTTAATGTTACCGTAACACTGCTCTATATAAGACCATCAGAATAAAGTCTAACCTGACACTAAAGGACTCATTCTTACAACTACATAATTTACATATTAGTTAACGAATAACTGAATAATGAGCCTGCAGTTTAAAGGGTTAAATAGAAGCTAATTAACAATTTTTAATTGCACTGACAGGAGCAGGACAAAGTGTTACGGTGGATGTCTGTCCTGATTAATGTTGCTGACCAGCTGTATTACCCCTGCGAACACATCGCCTGGGCAGCTGATGCAGAGCTCATCAAAGTCAAGTCTGACAAATGGTGGACACTGTGCACTGGCTTGTGGGGTCTGTCCTTACTTCTGGGCACTCTCAGGTAAAACTAGACCAGTACTGGCCAAATATTTGCTTGTTTACTGTTTTTGTTTTTACTCTGAAGTGCATCTGAAGGTGGAGATTTTGAGATGTTTATACTGATTACAATTGAATTAGGGATGCATGTAGATATCAGACTCCTGTTAATATTGAAAGATAATTCTTGTAAAAATCTCCGTTGGACTTATGATTACATTTGGCATAAATTAAACCAACATTTGATGACGTATTTACTGTACTTCAACAGAGCAGAATGTTTAGGTGATGCTGGGCTACTGAGTTTAGTGCCTGAATTGTATTAATTGTACTGCATTTGTATACAGATAACTGTTACGTTTCTCTGTAATGCTAATCCAGGTTGATCTAGTCCCAGTTTACACATTTTATAAATATTTATGTAGTGGCATAAAGAGAGAGTCTGCCGTTCAAAAGTCTGTAATCACTTGTTATATAATAATTGTTATTCGATAATAACTTATATAGTGTAGATTGAAATGTTAAACTCAGAAATATTAACTAATGTTTTATGTGCAATTTAAAGTATTTTGGAAACAACAAGAAGTTATAGTATGATAAAAACAGCAAATGTTATTTAATAGTAGACTGTAAATATCTATTTAATTCGGCTAGATTTGGTCACTGCTTTTTGAACAGCTTCCTAAAAACGGTTTGGAACCTATAGAAAATTACACTATATAACAATATAATAAATTAAATTATATGATAACAATTGTATATGTGTATCTGAGACAAAGTTGGTTTTTTGTTGTTGAAAACATGGATTCCAAACTTTTGAGCACCTTTGACCCGGAACTCCCATATCGGTGCATCCCTAATTCTACTAATATTCAGTGAAGAATATGCTCATTATATTTGGAACAAAATAAGATTCTAAGGCTATTTTCAAATGTAAAAATAAAAACGCGTTTTGTTGTTATTGTCTGTATTCCACTACTGTGTAAGTATTTTCCCTATAATCACATTTGTATTTCAGGTTGAGTCCCTGAATGATTTCCCAAGAAATCAAAATAAAATCATTATGAAATCAGAGATTTACACCCCCACCTTGACCTGGTTTCAGATCTCTCAGAATAATCCTGACATTAAGGAGGAAGGCACAGAAATGCAGACAGGCAGCACAAGATGATGGCAGGTAAGTCGATCTTTGACATTAACACGTCTAATTAATACAACTTTATTGAGTTAACCACTTTATAATAAGTGTTCAAATGATTATATAAGAAAGAGACTTGTTCCGAAATCATTTGGTTGTGTTTTTTAGGGAAGATGGCGTCACCGTCACTGTTGACATCCAGAGGCAGATTTGGGGAGAGTTTCTGAATGTTCTTAGCAGCCTAGCAGATCTGAGCAATGCTATTCATTGGATGCCTCCTGGGTTTCTGTGGGCTGGCCGGTTCCCCCATTGGCTGGTGGGACTCATGGGGACCTTTTCCTCTCTGATTGGAATGCTGCAGATGTGTTCCAGTGACCAAACTGCCAGTGTCTGAGGCGCTAGATTGTGGGTAGCTAAATAAGTTGCCATTGTTTTGCATATAGGTTACATAAATTTCCATTCATGTTCAGGGTTTTCTTGGTAAAGACAGACTTCACAACGCTTTCATATAATTCACTATAAATTGTACTTGACAGATCTTCACATTTGTGCAAATCGTTACTTCTCATGTAAAATTGTGCACTATAAATGACTTTTAGCACTTCAAGTGAAAGTAAAAGTGCTTCAAATGCTCCTCAAACTGATGATTGATGACAAAACAAGAGCCATGGCATTCTCTTTTTGCCTTTCACATAAAGTGCTCTATTTCTATGTACACTTTTCTCACATAATTTTGTATCCAGTTAGACTAAAGATTTCAAGGCCTGGAAAAAATAGCATTTATGTGGATTTCATGCAAAACCTACAGCATCAGGTGCATTTTGATACGAACACTAATGGAGTTATTTGTAGTCTTTATGCAATACAGAGTCACTCGTGCTGCGACATTGTTAGATTCTTTTCTCCACACCTGAAATGAATCGTTCCTTGAAAAATTAAATTACAGTAGGTACACAGTTTTACCCCTCACCCCAAACATTGATCAACCAGGACATTGGTGTCCAAAGTTTGCTTCTTTAGTTTTGCAGTGGAGCTAAAAGATGTGGATTCTGTAGACATCTATTAGGGTCTAGCTACATAGTAAAAAAGCATACTTTTCTAAACCATTCCTTTAACTCTTACCAGTAAATTAAATTCACAATCAGATATTTCACATTTTTTATTCAGCTTGGTAGCTTTAGGGAACTGAAGTAGGATCAGATTCCTTCCTGCTTTCTAGTGATTACAGTCGCAGACCAGGTCCTAAATCAGCACATCGGCACAGTGGAAAGTCTGTGTTCAGCCCTGACCAGTAAATTGATGTGGAGTTTTCTGACCTGAAGTGTAGTGAGCATGTGGCCCTCTAAACTTCATAATCGAAGTTCTGAATATGTGGACCAACAGTGATAAATCAGTTCTAAAACCTACAATTTAAGAACTCTAATTTTTGTGGTTATATTTGCAATTAAATATACCATACATTTCACTTGCTTTACAAATCCTAAATTGTAAATTTACCATCAGATCTGTCTAATTTTTGTATAGACAATATATGATTAGATCTGCACGCTGACAGGATAAACGACTAAGCTTGATATTATGTAAGTAACTTCTGTTAGAATGTAATGTCTACACTGAATGAGTGTGTGTGAAATGTATATTCATTAATAAGAGCGTTGTTGACCTGGCATACATGAGAAATTAATTTTGTAATTTATAATATATAACATGTTGTACAAATTCTGAAATAAATTATTTTATTAATGACAGTGACATTTTAAGACGCTTTTTTCTTTCTCACTTGTGTTTCATGTGGTACACCAAATGCATTGCTTTTATGTGCTACAAAATAGTCTTTATTTTGATGATTATCAGTTGAGAAATGGACATTAATGGACGTTATATCAAAGCTGCTCTGTATTTTCTTTGCTCTCAGTGTCAAACGTTGTGCTCTAGAAGGTGGAGGCCGAGTATGCAATCGATTAGTCATGACTTCGCTGTGCGCGCATGCGCGTTTAAGGCTCGTAGCAGCGTCCAGTGTTTAGAAATGGAGCTAAACTATGCTAAGAGTTTTTACTGGATGTGTTTAAATAACGTTACATCTTTTAAATTATAGCGACCCTGTCATCCTCGGGCTTGTTGTTCGGCTCTATTATAAACAGTATCTATGGAGACAGGTAAAAGGGACCTTGAGTCGAGATACGTCAACTTTCTTTGACCGGTTGTCGAAACTTCCAGCTCATTTGGTAAAGACGGCGATAGTTTTCTCTCATTTCGTTCATGATCGCTTCACTTTAACTGAGATATCAGAGCTGAAGACCTGCGGGTTTTGCTGCTTCGCCCTCAGTGCTGTTCAGCTGTCTATTTACTGTAGTTTGTGAGAAATTCCTGTTATGTCTTGTTCACTGCCTGCCTGCTTTTGGGTTATTTATAGGTTGGTTTATTCAGGATGTCTGTATTCTCGCTGTGTTTTAGAAAACGTTTCAGAAAAATGCCAGTTTGCCCGGTTATCTTATAGTCATTGGACTCGAGAGGGAGATAGTGGGATGTACTTTGGCCCATTACAACCCCTGCATACACACCTAGTAGTGTTATTGTGAAAGGATGAGGGAGGTCCTGTCTGGTTCTTCAAGGAATATTTAGGATGTTGGTTGCTTCAAACCCATAATAGCCCCTCCAGATCGTTTAGGCTGTTGATTTATGCCTGTGAAATTTTCAGTCATCTAACGTTAGTTCATTGGAATTTCCAGCAGTACTAAGTCAAAGTAACTCAAAGTCAGGTAACTTTGACCTGCTACTAGACTATTTTAGACTTTTCCCCAAATTAGATAAGCTATATACTTTTTGGCATCTTGTTTACATTAAGTGCATTATATTTTAATGAATTAATCATTCAATTAATGTAGTTGCTCCAAAGACATCTTCTCACCATGTCTTTTGATTCAGAACCCATCATTTTTAGAGCTATTTGACTACTCTTGTAAAGGCTATTTAATGTCAACTTGAAAACCTTTTTTTGAACTTGTGCTCATGTGCCTGGTTATGTTCAGCATAATTCATCATATTGAGCACAGTTAATCATATATTGTTTAAAAGACAACATACATTCTTGTTTCTGTCTGAATATAGTGCAACCGCTGAAATCTTGTGAGTTTTGATTACGTCACTCTGCACCAGCGGACAGGCAAAAGTAATATTAACCAATTAAATCATGTTTCCTCCAGTTATATCACCTCCCTTTCCCACCACCTCCACCTGTCATTGAGTGGAAACACTCTGCTAGCTCAGAGACTTTCCCTGATACGGTGTTTTCATTTAAATATACATTACAGTGTAGGAGGGAAAGTTCATTGTGATTTCCAATGCACATTGACTTCAAACCGTCTGTATAAATTATAGCAAATCAAGTAAGTAGATCACCATTTTGTTGTGGAGCACTGTCAACATTGTAGAGCAATGCGCTTTTAATGCACTGTTAACCTTATCAGAACACTTGGCACTTTGCTAATGGGCTGGTCACCTATAAATTTGTCATAACCTTTTCTTTCTCTTCTCATACCTCTAGGGAATCTTGGGCGGAAATGAGTGGCTTATGAGCTTAACCACAAGGTAGACTCTTGTCTTTCACTTTCTTCTTAATCACACCTGAGTCTGGAATGGAGAAGCTGGCAGATATTGTCAGTAGTGATGAGGTCACATCATTTGAAGATGAGCTGCTGGAAAGTTCAGAACTTATTCCTCAAAGAACAGCCTCAGCCAAGTTAGCTGTAGAAACCACAGATGATAACTATCATGCATCCACACATGCTGGGAAAAGTCTTACAAGCCCTTTGTTGGAGGATCTGGATTCCTTCAACCTTATAGAGCCCCCTCCGCTGGACTGGAGGTCTGACTCATCAAGTGAATGTTCACTTCGGGATATTGATGAACCTGGATCATCGCATACGGACTCCATGGAAGCGCCTTTAGAGGAACTAAGTGACTATGGAGCTCAGAACATGAGCTTTACACCAGCAGAAACTCCCTCAGAAATGGAAGGTCTTACAAATCAGGAGATGGAAATGAGTGAACCTGAAATATTGGAGAACAGTCCAGAGGAGAAGCCAGAAGAGGAGCGTAGACCACGGGACATGGACCACTCCCACATTCAAACTCTACTTACCCAGCTTCAGCTCTTTCACCCAACACCTTCTCCTAAAGAAACTATCCACGAACCAGAACCAGAGCAGTCTACATCCAGTCCTGATACTTTAACTGACAGACACTCCTTCCTATGCCCAGAGCCAGAAGGTAACACTTACCAGACTTGCACTGAGGGGAGCATAGCCTCTGGTCTTCTTTTCACAGAGAGTCATCAGAGAGATCTGCTGCAGCTTTTGGAGGAACCAGAGACTAGGGAACCTCAGCCAGTTTATACAGCCCAAACTACTGAAAACAATATTGAACACGTGTCACAGCTTATAGACCCCCAGACAAGGTACACAGCACAAAGTGTTGAGGCTGATGAGGTGGTCTCTATTTCATATGGCCAAGACACCTGGCGTAGCCCCTTCCAGGATGAGTTTATGGTCTCAGGCTACTCTGAGGACGAGCTCTTGGCACAATGGCGACAGTCCAAAGGTCTGTCCCCAGACGAGATACCCTGCCATAGAGCTGATGTGGTAGGTGTACGTTTATTCTTTCTTGTGCAAATAGTTAAAACCACTCGGCAAGCAATTCCATGAGTCTTTTTTTTTAAAAATCTTTTATTCTTTTTCATTTAACAGGATGCTGAGGCTGAGGCTGAGGCTCAGCCTTCCTATAAAGATGGTAGGAAAACTGAAATTGTTTCCATCGCATTATTTACAGAAGGTTTAAAGCCATGTTCATGCTGAACAGGTTTTACCCAGGGATGAACTAAAATTTAAGTGATTTAATGACAAGATCTGTTATTTTAATTAAATATGGATTTGCAATGTCTGACAAGTTATAAGGTAATAAAAATAGTAGCCTTATTTGATTCGTGTTAATTTAAAAACAAAACTGTAATAATAGACACAACTGTGTCGTTGTTGAGTGTTACCCCATCAGATAATGCTGACATGTACAGTACTGTGAAGTCAGACACCACCTTTCATTTATTTTATTTAAACTCAAAATAGCCTTTTAGTACAAGTTATTAATTTTTCAGGAGATATTGGATTACACATAAGATAATCCACTTGCATGAAGAAAAAAGAAAAATAAATGAAAACAATTTTCAAAATTGGAGAATTTTAAAGAGAAAATTGGACTCCAAACAGTGTGTCAAGACCTGATGGAGCACCAATACTGGATGAACAAATAAACCGTATTTAAAGCTTTCATCTCTGAGAGAGAGAGGAGAAAATCAAGCTCCACTCTGCTTTGTGCAGGTGTTTCTGTCCATCCTTCCACTGTGAGAAGACAACCCAACACTGAGTCTGAAAGGATGTGTAGCTATCAAGGTTACTGAGGAAAGGAAATAGACAAAAAGAAGACAATTTGCAATCAAATAAAGAAGCTGCTGGTGTTCTCAGAACAATGAACTGGTCATCCCAGAGTCCAGACCTTAACATCACTGATTGTGTCTGGGGTTATCAGGGCTCACGAGAGGCAGAAAATGCTGCCAACTTTTGTATAATAGCAATAAAGGCAAAGCGTGGGCACACTAAATACTGAAAGAAAATATTTGTTGAGGTTTTTGTATAATTTTCTGTTATATACATTTGTCTCCCTTTTTCCCCCCTAACACTCAAAAATGAATAAATTGTACTTAATGACTTTATTGTACATAATGGCTATAATATTACGTTAATAATATTACGTTTCTCTCTGGACTTTCTGTGGTAATTTGGCTAAATTACGCAGATACTTTATTCTCTACAAATAATCCAGTTAAATTCATTACAGATTACCTTACAGAATTTACTCTGGTAAAGCTAGTCCAGTGCGTAATTCACTAAGTAATAAACATTCTCTTTTTGTCTTAGTGCCTGGTCCTTGTGATCCTGAAGATCTTCTGGATGGAGTCATATTTGGAGCGAAATACCTGGGTTCCACACAGCTGCAGTCGGATAAGAACCCCTCCACCAACGCTCGCATGGCTCAGGCTCAAGAAGCTGTAGACCGCATCAAGGTAAAATGTGTAGTTTGGTGTTCATGATGTGCTTAATATGAATTTCCTGTTTCAGTGCTTTCCAGCATTTTCTTTTGTCTTTTTTTTTGTGTGTCATATTTGAAAGTAGAAGGAAAGCCGCATAGGCAGCCTTCTAGATAATTTGTCAGTGATTAGTTTGATACAGTTTACTGCTACGTCTGCCTTGTAGATTCTGTAGCTTCTGAGATTTTAATTCTTTTAAAATGTTCTGCATTTATAAATTCATTAATAATGAGTATTTGTGTCCAAAACCAGGCACCTGAAGGAGAATCTCAGCCGATGACCGAGGTGGACCTCTTCATCTCCACTCAGAGAATCAAAGTGTTGAGTGCAGATACACAGGTTTGTTGTTGGACTTCATAAATGAGATCAGATTTAATTATTGTCTGTCTGCATTGGGGGTCTAAATCTTTGATTTCACACTGATTTCACTGAATTACTATTGTTTAGGACACATTCAAATTTCAGTTTTCACTCAGTTCAATTCAGTGTGATAATTTTAGGTTGATTCAGAATTCAGACAAACAGACAAGTACAAAAAGTAGAGAAACCATTTTTTTGCATTTGAATATAGTCCAGTTGATGGTGTCTTACAATATTATGATGAATGGA